TTTTACCTGCTTAGAATATAATTCTATGGTGTAATTACAATATTTGTCGTCTATGTCATAAAATATGAAAGGGAAAAGGTAATAAAGAAAAATTAGATGTATTTTATCATTGACTCATTCAACTTTTATAAGGGACACATAAATTAGCATATATATCACCAATAGGATAAAAATGACATTGATGATATTAAAACTATAATGAATTGTTTTCGTTTTATTTTTTTTCTCTTTCTCTATTAAATAACAATCAGACATACACACGTGTATTTATCAACATAAAGGTAATCGATCGTGAAAAACGCCCTTATTTGAATAAAGAGTATGAGTCAAAAACTACACTTATTTTGACATACTCTATATCTTGCATGAATAAAAGACGTTCATTGATATGGCAAAATAATCAAAAATTATGTCGGTGTACAGCGAGACAGAATGCTTTTAAGTATGACATCATTATATTGTTTACTTGTTCACAAGATTGTATTAAATTCAGCAAGATCTACTGATTCTAGAAATCATAAAGCTTTTTGTAATCATCTGTGATGATACCTAATTTATGTAAAGGTGTTGAATAAAGGCTCTATTTAGTTAGTTGAAAGAGAAATGATACGGGTATAGAAGATAAATAAAAGATAATTTCGATATTTATCATTCTTTCACGTGTAGAAAAGAATAAGAAAAACATATTTCGTATATTGTCAGTGGCTTGCATACGTCCACTGAATTGATCTTTTACTTATCTCAATTAATTTATTGCATCCATTTACAATGGCTGATGTACAACTATTGGACCACTTGTTGACTGTCATCGAACAAAACATTCTACCTAAAACTCGGATTGGTGTTACACAAGGTAACAAGATTTTTGGTGCAGCTATCTTAAAAAAATCTGATTTTACTGTTGTTATCGCTGAAACTAACAATGAAGTAGAAAATCCACTTTGGCATGGTGAAATGCATGCTATTAAAAAATTTTATGAAACAGAAGATCGATCGACTCTTCCTAAACCTAAAGATTGTATCTTTCTTGCTACACATGAACCTTGTTCTCTGTGTTTATCGGCTATAACATGGGGTGGTTACGATAATTTTTATTATTTATTCAGTCATGAAAATAGTCGTGATAATTTCAACATACCACACGATATTAAAATTTTAAAAGAAGTTTTTGGTAATGCTGAAAGTAATGATCAACCACTTTATAATCGAACTAATGCATTTTGGCATAGTCACAGTATTATAGAAATGATCAACAATCTTGATAAATGTAATGGTGATCGTGAATTACTTCTTGCTCGAGTGAATGAAATTACCAAACTTTATGCTGATCTATCAACTGTCTATCAAGCAAACAAAGGCAAAGCCGGCATTCCTTTAGATTGATACTTCTTGCAATTATCATGTTTTTTGTACAACATTCGTTTATATAATTCAATGTTTTGTTTTTTATTTCAAAGATTTGTAAATATGAAGATTATTTCGTTCTTTTCTTACACGAATTTATATGACTAATATTGATTTTTTGCAAACTTCATTCATTAATAGCATTCCTGTTTGTTTTTTTTTATAAATTTATAATATAATAAAGAACAAGTTTTTACTATTACTTGTTTTGAAAATTACTAAATTCAATTTATTTCTTTTTGATTATTATTATATGGCCCTCATAATTAACAATTGGTAAGGTTAAACATCATAGATGAAATCAATATATTGTTTTTAATCCTTGGGCTTTTAATACATCGTATCATGAATTTCAAATCATAACTATTCTACTATTCGATCGATAGACTAAGTTACTTAGACTAAAAGAAGCGTTACATCGAGTGACTACTACCTAAACTTCTCATTTCTAACAGTCGAATATTGTGCCTTTTATGTTAGAATTACTGCACTATATATACGATCGCAAGAGAGACAGAGAGAGAAATATATAGTATTAGAGAGAATAATATAGAAGGAGAGAGAAATATATAATAGCAGAGAGATATGTACCCGTAGAAAGAGAAACACGGTGCTAGATATGTATATGTAGTACGAGGGAAAGATAGATAGTACTACAGAGAGAGAGAGAATGAACACAGAATAACGCATGTTTGTTGTACGTCTGTCGAAAGATATACGTACAGAAAAAGTGTATATAAGAAGAATGGTGGCGATGATCTGATCTCACGAAAGGTGACGATATATTTTTGTAAATCCAGATAGGATTTTGAAGCTTATTCTATATAAATCTAAACTTCGATGAAAGTTTTCTCTTCAAATCTTGTACATTAAATGACTAGTAACCATGTAAAAAGACGAAATTCTGTCTCAATGCATTCTACTATATATTTTTATAATACTGCTACCTTATATACAAAAATGTAAAAGTGTTTTATCGTTCGTAAAGAAAAAAAAGCAAAAAAATTCAAACTTTCTTCTAGTCAACATTTCTCGTCATACACATGTGTATATATAGAGAAAGAGAAAAAAAGAAAAAAACGGTATATGTTGTTCTTTTTATTCGATAAGTAACCGTTGTCGAATCAACGAGTAGTATACAGCTGCCTTTTAAATTTATTTATGTAGGTATAATGATGAATAATATGAAGTAAGGTGAAATCTCTTTCATTTTTACAATACACATGTGCACGCATATTTTTATCGACCCTTTTCTTGTGTTCGTTGCTTTGTTAACTTCAGTTGACCCCTACCTCTACAAGAGTTTTCTTTCTTTCTATTCTTCTAAAAGGATGATTCATTACATTTAATGTCTTTTCTTATATACCCAAATTCGAAATTCGAAAAGAAATATCAAGTTTGCTATTCGCCAATAATCAAGCAATCCATTCAGATCAAAAACTTTCGAAATTAAAATGGAGGCAGAATAAAAATACGTTTAACTACATTTGGATGACCTTACAATCGAGTACTTTTCGATAAATTATTGTTTTTTTCCAAAGAGTAACTAAAGGTATATTAGAGATATTTTTGACCTTAGAAAATAAAATATCGAAATTGGATCTCGAAGATAATTTTTGTAATTAAATTTTGATATGCGAAGCTTTTCAAACAAAATTAAAAAATTTAAATTACGTCGTAGAATATGAATTATAAAAAAACTAATAATTTGTTGTACATGTCGAAAGAATGATGTAAAATATTAATATTTTCGAATTTTATTCGTTTGTATTCAATTCATTTCACTACTCATCGGATCATGTATTAGCTAAAGAAAAATTTCACCAATTGTCTAATGTTTTGCAACACAAATCTTATTTTATTTTCTAAAACTAAATTATGATTTGTTTTAATAATTGGTTCAAACCATTCAAAAATACTCATGATCATATGCTTTTTGTTCGTCAATATCGCTAGTTTAAAGTTCGATATAAAAATAATTTCACGATAAAATACAAATATACTTTATAGAATGCACAGATAGAAAATATTGAAAAATAAAAAGCATACACTGATGTGCGATTATATTAATAATCTGATGAAAAAAATTAATTTGAATTCTACTGTCATATATAATGAAGAATATGGTCGTTCATAAATAAATTATGTTCTCTTTATCAGTTTAACCTAAGCTGAAAAAGTCGGTTACATACAATAATTTTATATAGTTAAGGTATTCATTTGCACATTATATTTTTTTCGTTTGGTATTAAACATAAATACAGGTGTTACATACAAAGAAGATCTATGTTTATACAAGTACATTCAATTTTTACTATTGCTATTCAAAATCTGAAAATGTATTTTACAGATAATTTCGGAAATTATAAACAGTCAAGTTCTTTATGTAAATGTTTCACAAGATAATATGTGATAGTTTTCAGAAATAAATTTTAGTCGAATATAAACTACTTCTAAAAGATAAAACAAACAGATTGATTATTATAAAAATGAGCTTTGTCTCAACATAAAATTTGAAAATGTACACGATCAACTTGTTTTCTGTGTTTGATTGATGACTTCAAAATAGATAAATAGAAGTATTATAATTCATTTTTCTATTTTCAAAATTGAATGATATTGAAATGTCTTCAATAGATTTTTCTCATCTATTTACAGATACTTGTCAATGCTTTTTGTAAGATGAACAATCATTTGTGAAACTAACAAGTAAAGATAAATATGTGAATGTCTATCACAGAAGATTGTAACACAATTAAGAAGATGTAAAGCTTTACAAAAGGTTACATCGAACCATTATTCAGTAGCAAATAGGTAAGAATGATCAATTAGATCATTGCATTATAGTTAATTCGTCTATTTCAAACATTTGATTAGTATGGAAACAAATAACACGTAAAGAAAAAATTTTTCATGAATTTTATTCATTTTAGAGATATATTAATACAGAATTTTTTTTGATTTACCTGAATGTGCATGTTTGTTGATCTTTCATATTTCTGATAACATTATATTAGTCGTAGAACATGCATACACGTCGTCTTTGTCTTATGAAAATAAAGAGAAGATAAAAACGAACAATCGACAACACATTTAATAATTAAATGTTTATTTTTCCTCATTGCTTCAACAGAAAATCTTTATTGAAATTTTTATTATTGTTCTGGTATTTTTGTCATATTGTTCAGTAATCATTTGTCTCGACATAAAAATAATTGTAAATTTCCATCATTCTGTAATAACGATTGAAAAGAACAATAAAATTCTCTTTAGAGATTTTCTGTAAGGACGAATATTTTAAGAACTATGTCTCACAAATTATTTTTTTTGAATTGTGAACAATGACCATACTTTAACGTTTTTTTCGTTTGTCGGTATCTGATAAATATCTCTGATGAGACCTGTAATATTTTGTGACGTATATTTAACAAACATGAAAAAACCAAGTGAAATACTGATAACAGCGAAAACAATGTAAATGATGATATGAAGAAAAATCTCGAAAGAAAATTCTTATACTATAAAATAACACATTATTCTCATTCATTTATACACATTTCTTGAAGCAATCTACATTAATATCATTATAAAAAATAATGGGCAACAACTGCACATTAAGAAGATCTGTTCAAGTCCATCCACAAGTTGATGCTAAACAAGCATCAAAATTTTCCAAGGAGGCAGTTTCAAATCAACGCATGAGTATGCAAAGAATGCAAAATGTCCTCCTCATTTGGTTAGACAACACTATTGATGAAAATAATGCTGATTGTAGTAATACAATCAAGCAATTGAAGCGTGTAGTTGACAACGTAATCACGTTTACAGATCGTGCCCAGTGTTTTAAATTTATTCAAACCATGAAAAACAACAAAGTATATATAGTTGTTTCTGGTTCACTTGGGAAATATACTATGCCTTATGTGCATGATATGTCACAAGTAAACACCTTTTTTATTTTTTGTAACAATCAAGAATGCCATATACAATGGGCCAAAGAATGGCCTAAAATAAAAGGAGTCTCCATAGATATAACATCCATCTGTGAAGCCCTTAAACGAGTTGTTTATCAATGTGAGCAAGATGACATCCCAATCAGCTTTGTGGCATCAAACAAGAAATTGGATCAATTAGATCCATCATTCATGTATACTCAAATCTTGAAAGAGATCTTATTAACCATCAACTTCGAAGATAAACATATCAAAGAATTTATTACTCATTGTCGTGATATATATGCTGATAATGAGCATGATTTACATAATATTGAAAAATTGGAACGTGAATATCATGATCGAAGTCCTATTTGGTGGTATACTTATCAATATTTTTTATGTTCTATGCTCAATCAAGCATTAAGATTAATGAATGTTGATATGATTGTTCGAATGGGTTTCTTTATTAATGATCTACATCGTGACATTCAACGACTCCATTCGGAACAAGTTGGTGGCAAAAAATCAGATGAAACATTTACAGTTTATCGTGGACAAGGCGTTTCGAAAAAAGAGTTCACCGAAATGACAAAAACAAAAGGTGGACTTCTTTCATTTAACAACTTTCTATCAACTAGTAAAAATCTTGATGTTGGTCTCTGTTTCGCACCACAAGTTCCTGCAAATCCTGATCTTGTTGGAGTTCTATTTGTTATATCAATTAATCCTACTCATTCAACAACTCCATTTGCTTCTATTAAGGATGTTAGTTATTTTGAAACAGAAAATGAAGTTCTCTTCTCTATGCATACCATTTTTCGCATCAGAGATATTAAACCAATGGATGAAAATAATCATCTCTATCAAGTAAATTTAATATTGACCAATGACAAAGATCAAGACCTTCGTACTCTTATTGATAGTATCCGACAAGAGACCTTTCCAGATGTAGAAGGATGGTTCAGATTAGGATTATTGCTAATTAAAATGGGTCAGTTTAACAAGGCTCGAGAAGTTTATGAAGTTTTACTTCATCAAACAACGGATGAAAGTGACAAGGCACCTATTTATAATCAACTAGGTCAGACCAAACATAAACAAAGAGAATATCCAGAAGCACTTACATGTTATGAACAATCACTTGCTATCTACGAAAAAATACTTCCTTCCAATCATCTTAATTTGGGTAATGTCTATAGCGACATCGGTTTGGTGTATGACAAAATGGGTGATTATCCAAAAGCACTTTCATCTCATGAAAAAGCCCTTGCAATTCGTCAACAGTCACTTTCTTTCAATCATCCTGATTTGGGTGATTCTTATAACAACATCGGTAATGTGTATAAGGGCATGGGTGATTATCCAAAAGCACTTTCATCTCATGAAAAAGCCCTTGAAATTCGACAACAATCACTTCCTCACAATCATCCTGATTTGGGTGGTTCCTATAACAACATTGGTTTGGTGCATAACAACATGGGTGATTATCCAAAAGCACTTTCATCTCATGAAAAAGCCCTTGAAATCAAACAACAATCACTTCCTTCCAATCATCCTAGTTTAGGTGCTTCCCATAACAACATCGGTAATGTGTATAAGGACATGGGTGATTATTCAAAAGCACTTTCATCTCATGAAAAAGCCCTTGGAATTCGTCAACAGTCACTTTCTTTCAATCATCCTGATTTGGGTGATTCTTATAACAACATCGGTATTGTGTACAAGAACATGGGTGATTATCCAAAAGCACTTTTTTATTATGAGAAAGCCCTTGCAATCAAACAACAATCACTTCCGTCCAACCATCCTGATTTGGGTGGTTCCTATAACAACATCGGTAATGTGTATGAGAATATGGGCAACTATGTAAAAGCTCATTCATTCTATGAACGTGCTGTACAAAATGGACAACAATCATTAACATCAAATCATCCTAGACTTCAAAAATGGAGAAAAAACCTCGAAAACATAAAAGAGAAATTATAATTTTTTCTGTATTTTTTTTTAAAAGTAAAATAAAACTGATGAAAAAGAAAATGTGTTTCTGTTGAAACTCTGTTCTTGTTGAGAACACAATATGAGTAGTAACACTCACCGATAAGGTAAACAATACATATTGAAAAGATATATATTGTAGAAAATACGTTTTTTCACGTGGACTTACTGCATGCTTATGCTCAGAGACGACGTTTCGTTTTTCTAGATTACCAATAAATTCTTATACATCAACATAATAGATCAAATATAATCAATGAAAAGCATTGCAATCGAATATAACGATAATTAATTTTGAAATAAATGATGTCAATTGCTTTCAATACATATAGTTAACTGACTCGAAACTAGACTTTTAGAACTTGTAGGTATTCGTAGGACATGTTTTTTTTTGATTACTTATTGTGCAAAAATATGTTCAGACATTGATAAGTATTCGAAAAAAGATTGTCCTGACAAGATCGAATATAGATGTTGGATAAAAAAGAGTAGATGGTAATAAATGGTTTCAAAAAAATCAGAATAGAAACATATATCTTTATTCTTCGTTATCTAATTGATGCAAAAAAATCACTTCCACATTCCGATGAATAATCGATTAATACATTTTTATTCAGTATTTTTTATAATTGCCATGTATAAAAAAAATGTTTTTGCACAAAACATTCTACGCATATTTAATATCCATTAAAATGCTTCCTGCTGTTTTCTTTTTATAATCATATCCTAAGTGTTTTCGTTTATTTTGACAAAATTCACAAAATAAAATAAAATAGACGATTTTTTTATTGATAGAAAATTGAAAATAGTTTTTCGAAATCATTTATGTATGTGCATTTTTATATAAAGAGTAGGACAAGCATTTTTTCGAGCCTGTAATTAGACAGGTTTGAGCCCAAAACGCTTGATTGGAGCCCGGTCGAAATCAATCATGCTCAAAACAATATTGCTTTCTCTCCTTTGTTTTCTCTAGTATGAAACAAGCCCGATTAAACATTATTTTTAAACTGCTATAGTTTACTTAGTGTAAAAAAACGTAAAATAATTTTATAGAATATAGAGAATTATAAATAATTTAATGTTCTAAAGTTGATGTAGCTTTTTTTGGTCGACCACGTCGTTTGCCTAAAGTTTCTAATTTATGTGGATCAGATATAACATATAAGCCGAAATGAATTGAAGCACCAATTGCGTGTTTACAAACATATGTCTTCAAATTTGTTCTGCAACTACACATCATTGGTAATGTAACAAGTCGACCACTATAAAGCTAAATCAGCTTTAAAACATTAAATTATTTATAACTCTCTATATTCCGTATTTTTTTTACACTAAGTAAACTATAGCAGTTTAAAAATAATGTTTAATCGGGCTCGTTTCATACTAGAGAAAACAAAGGAGAGAAAGTAATATTGTTTTGAGCCTGATTGATTTCGATCGGGCTCCAATCAAGCGTTTTGGGCTCAAACATGTCTAATTACGGGCTCGAAAAAATGCTTGTCCATTTTTTTTCGTCTGTTTCTTTATTATAATTAGTTCTATAATTCAATGCAGCACGTATTACATTTATTTTCTTCCTATATATAGCATATTAGAAAATAAAAAAATACAAAAAGAAACAGCAGGCAAGAATTCAATTACTTCACATTATAATCTCTTCATCATCCTTAACCCAAAAACCAAGGCAAAATAAAAAAATAAAATCGACTCTTGAAATTCTTCTTGACATAAACGTAGACAGAAAGGTGAGACAAAACATATATAGAAAGTATATTCATAACATAACTAAGAGTATTCTGGGTAAGAATTATGTCTTCGGTTTCAAATAAAAATAATAATTCATCTAATACAAATTTGGGATCTACTGATCAACATACATCATCATTATTTATCAATATTCAACAATTACAAACTGGTATTCAAGTACAACATCAACATGAAAAAGAGTCATTAAACGAATTGAATCAACGTTTTCATCATTCTATCGATCGTGTTCGTTTGTTAGAATCACAAAATTTAAAATATCGTACAAAACTTACAGCTATTCGAAAACAACCATTCGATGATAATGATATAAAATCGATTGAACATTTTTTCTAATATAAAATCTGAACTTTCAAAGCAATACAATGCAACTA